AAAAAAAAAAAATTGGGCCAAAAAAATGAGGCCCCCTCCACGCTTGGGCCTGAGGCGGTGGCTTCACTCGCCTCGCCTCAGGGCCGGCCCTGCTGCTGGGCCTCACTCGCTTCGTCTCAGGGCCGGCCCTGCTGCTGGGTAACTGAGACAGCTTGTCATGGAAAGAAGTAACTAGAGCTTCAACTCCGTCAAGTACCGCTGCTGCTGAGTAACTGAGATAGCAACTCCTTAAGCTATCATTGTCACTATTCAGTTTTCTATGTTAACATTCTTGGTTTGCCTTGTTCAGTCAAAAACGAAATGTTGCTGCTAATGGATCTAACCACAATGCAGCCAAAAGGGGGTAGGGGAATGGGAGGAGTACAAAACCAACTTCTTAACAAGGCATTTGAAGGTTTAAAAGGTGGAAGAGGTGCTGGACGAACTGGTGGAAGAGGAGGTGGATGGCGGGGTCGTGGTAGAGGAAGAAGTTATTGCTGAAACTGGTCACAACTTTTCTGTATAATTCACACGTATTACTGATGCACATGAGATTGTTGTAGTTTAATTTAATTTTTCTCACCTAGTTCTTTAGATTCATAATTCGTAGTAGATATTTGATGAAATTTTGGAATTTGTTTTAATTTTTTCCCAAGAAAATGATGGGTGGTGGAATGTGGATGAGATTGTCGACTTGTCATGAATACTCTGCGCGTTCCCTTTTGGGGAATTCCATCATATCACTAATTTGAAAAACAGGTAGGGTATTCTTGTTGGCTCCTCCCACGTGCAATAATGACACTTTCTAATTTAATTAGGTTAATGAGTCCCACTGTCTGTCCCAAATCATGTACTTGGGTTTAGAATTTTTGGGGATTGTGATGTTAATTAAAAATTTGTAATTATTCCTTGCCTGATTTTTATTTTTTCAAATGCTTTATGCCTCGTCTGGATCGAGCTCGTGTTAAGTTGAGTCGGGCTCTCTCATTTTTGACTACTTATTTTTCTTGATATACTTTTGTACGTAGTTTCTTAACTTTTTTTGTACTTTTTAATTAGACTTTGCTTTTCAAAAAATAAAAATTAGACAAGGATATGATTGAACGTTTTGATAATTTGATGGTATTAGGTTAGAATCTTTGTCGTAGGTACCTTCAAATTCAATGAAACCAACTTTTTCCTCCATTGCACATGCATGCATGTTTAGCGCCATATGTTACTCAGAATTGCATATCAACTAAAGATTCTTTGTAATCAATTGGTGATGCTAATCTTTAAATTTGATAGCAAATTTACGCAACTCGACACATATTTGGTGTAAATATAAACATACATATTTTTAGAGGTAAAATTTGTTCTTAATAAGATTTTTCTATTTCGAGTTCTTAAATTTCAGTTTATGCGATAGTGAGACTATTATCGAACAAACGAGTGATGGACAAGAAAATAGCATCAATATGTCTACAAGCCTTTTCGCAAATGAAAATAGTAATAAATGCAATTGGGACAAGCTTTCTGATGACACAAGTGGCTTTGTACTTGTCACTAATCATTATTAGTGTCTTTTAACTAACAAAATAAACATAAATAGCACTAGGGTTGAATCATGGAAGTTACCAAGAAAGAAGCCTCTATGAATTCCGTGAGAGAGAGAGAGAGAGAGAGAGAGAGAGAGACCCTCCATGTGACTGAGTTGAGAAGAAGGCAAATTGAGGTGGGGACACAAAAACATTTCACATGGGGAAGAGGAAGACATTATTCGGCAGCCTCTTTTCCCTTTCACAGCTCATCCTCTCTAAATCCCACATCCTCCCACTATACCCCCCATTCAATATTTTTATCACACTGCATTACCTATTTCATTAGAGTAGTGTTGTTTATAAGTCGAGTTTACAATCAACAATTTATGTGACAACGGGGTCATTGTTACATTTTTGAATGAAGTTGAAACGTATTTTAAATAATTGAAGATTATGACAATTACTCACTCTTATATTAACCTTGTTGAACCATGTCCACTCTATATGACTTCTAGTGTTCGTTTTTTAAAATCATTCAATCTCTTTTGGGTCAAGTTCATGAACTTGAGAAGTCTCGTTTCTCTTGTGGGTTGATACGTCACTTTCTTCCGATAAGAAATATGCTTGCATCCCAATATGAAAAGAACTAAAGAATCATATGCTGACAAACCATACAAAATTGATTATAAAGATTGTCGAAGGATTTCATCTAATGGTACAGATAAACTCTAATGGGATTATGCACAAGAACAAAACCCAAAAAAAGAATGAATCTTTGATTCTCCCATATGATAACAAGGGTGGTGAAGAGGCAATGTCACATCGGCACGTGGTGGCTGATTCCCAGATATTAAACTACTGCTACTTTCTCAGAGAAAACCGTTGGATTTCGATGACCCTTCTTCTCAACAGCTGTAGCTAGCTGTCCTAATCCTCCATCGCATGTGACCCCGCCACCCTTCCCTCCAAAACTTCTGGGCCTTAAAAATAAGAACACTGCCCTACAATCTTGATGATACCCTACACACAGAAACTTGACAATTCATCCTTAAATCACTCAACTCTCTTGTCTAAGAAATTCTTCATTCAAGATTTTCTTGAACTTGATTTCTAGTTTTGGTTTAGGTATAATTAAGTAGAAGATTTGAAGGCTGTTAATGCATGGAGCAATTACCACCAAAAGTCCCATCCATGGCACACAATTGGACTTCATTTCCATTCCAAATGATGCCACTTCATGCTCAGCAAAATTCATGGGTTGATGAATTCCTCGACTTCTCCTCGACAAGGCGGAGCATGCACCGGAGGACGGCGAGTGACCCTGTCGCCTTCGTTGAAGAGTCGGGCAATAATAATAATGGGTTTGAGAGATTGGATGATGAGCAGCTGAGAGACATGTTTTCTGATGATATGGCGGACGTGGGGCCTACTACGAGGTCTTCGTCTAATCCTTCCTCGCCATCGGATCAAAACGGTGAAAACATTGAGAAGATAAAAACGGTGGTGGAGGTGGAGGAGGAGCGCCACTGTGTGCAGCCGAAGAATGAGCCTGGTGAGGTGCATAGTTCATGCAAACCACCAGTAGAGTCATTGCCTCCTGCCAAGTCTTCTGATAATGCTTCTGGGGATACCATTGTTGACCCAAAGAGGATCAAAAGGTAAAATATAATTTTGTTAAAAAATTGCAATAATTCTACAATTTATCAATGTTATTTAAGGAAAACTTACCCAAAAAAACGTTTACATCTTGGAGTAAAAGATGTTTTTGGTCTGTTGAATGTGTAAATTTTTCTATCTTTTGGCATAATTTAACCGATGTCGAATTTATTCTTAACAATTTGCGTCAAGAAACTAATTTTGGAATCTGAATGCTTGTTTGAGCTTTAGACGTAGTGAATTATTTTTTTCTAACATATTCATGTCGATTGCCAGAATTTTGGCTAATCGTCAGTCGGCTCAAAGATCAAGAGTGAGGAAGTTACAATACATTTCAGAGCTTGAAAGGAGTGTAACAACATTGCAGGTACGCATGTCTCGTCTGTAGCACTTGACAGTATTAAATAATAAAAATAATTTAAGAATTTACTTATAATTTGTATTCTCGACTTTACTTAATATTTGTGCAGTCCTAATTATTGAATGAATGCAGAGTGAAGTATCAGCTTTGTCACCAAGAGTTGCACTTTTAGACCATCAAAGGCTGCTTCTTAATGTTGATAACAGCGCTCTTAAGCAGAGAATTGCAGCATTGGCTCAAGATAAAATTTTCAAAGACGGTAAGGACTATAATTGAGAAATTATTGCTCTTTTTTCGCAAATTGTATTCTAAAATACACGAATTTACGTGCTCAAATAGTGTGTTTCTCATTTATAAAAAGGATATATCGATTATTTGACTGTTGAAGTTACTGAACTTGGACATAAAGAAATTATCAGCATGTTACACTAGCTTAAAAGTTACTTAAACCTACTTTTAAATATTTTTTTTTCCATCAAACATTTTTGTACATGTTTCTTTTTTCTTTACTATTTTGACATTTACTTGTATAAATTTATATTAAATGACAGCCCATCAGGAAGCATTGAAGAAGGAGATAGAAAGATTGAGAAAAATATATCATGAACAAAACATTAAGAAGATGGGTGGTAAAGCCACCGCGGAAGCACAACCACCACAACCACCGGTAGCCGCCACCTTCGAATAATTTCTCGAGGGTGTGAGGCCGTGGTGCTGATAACCTGCATGTGCAATCAGATCACGTGATGTAGTGGGTGGGATCCCTTATGTTCCACGATTTTATAGCATTGCTACATGAGTTGGGGTAGGGTATCATTTTCTTGAAATGTTGACAAGAAAGGTAAAAGGAGAAACAAGAAATTTGGCTCCTTTTTGCCTGCAAATTGTGGTTAGAATTTGTTTCATTCATTGTTTGTTTTGTATTTAGGTTTAAGAAAGTCAATGTTGGAGGCTGAAAATTACTTATAATTTGCTCATAATTAGCTTTTTTTATTGTGAATTATGCTGTCAGGATAGAATTTTATTGTATTTATTGTCTGATTGGTGTAATCTATCTGGTATTATTTTAGCATTCTGGTTAGAATTTGCTGTAAAATAAAGAACACAGTCGCTCATTATTAAACTTTCAAAAAGATGAGACTGAAACACACTTCAAAGTCGAAAGGCGTATTTATATTTAAGGTTCTAAACAGAAGTCGACATATAGAGCTCTCAGTGATGAGCAACACTATAGATTGGACGCACCAGAAACCCCATTTATTTGTTGTCTAGTATTTACTATTTACAGTCCCTAGCAAACTACTTGAGAGCCAATTATATACGATAACTAGAGTCAATCTTCACATGCACGTTAATCTTGATCCATCGTGAATACGAACAAATCTAGACTTGTGGCCGTGAATGCGAATTATTTGGAGAATTTCCGGGATTTTCATCAGCAACATCACTTACTTTTCTTGAAAGTCTGCTTCTGTGATATCCCAACTTTTTCAAAGCCATTATTATCGTAATCCAAATCCCTTCATATTGAGCCATGGAATTCTCATATCTGTCTTTTGCCCGAAAATAGTAGATTAGAAGTGATGTTGATGATGTGACTCCTGTAATTATAAACAGCACAAAAAAGTTCTGAGGGCTAAGACTTGCAGTTTCGTTGTCTGATTGAATATCTACACATTGCTCAGAAGCTATTAAGCGCTGCTCCAAATCTTTCAGCATCCCATTTTCACGAACATTCAGTAATGCTTCATCTATGTCAGGGAGTAAAAGGGATCCCTTTGGAAATGCCTGAGATGATGAAATCAATAGAAAATTGTGCACGTGTCAGATTATTGATAAAAAATGAAATTGACCTACACGTGAATGTGTGTGTACCCTTTTCAATGGCTTAAAGTTTAGACGAGGGGTTCACAAGGGATAGTGAAATTACAAATCCATATCCTCCAACTTGGTAAGTAGGACCAGCTATGGTGAAGCTCTTGCAATATTTGGCGACGAAAAGTTTAGCCACAGGAGCTTCAAGAAAGGCTGCTGCAATAGCACCACTTCTGAGAGCCTGTGCATACTCATCTATTGACGTGAAATTCCTGATGTTGCTTGATTTAAAGTCTAAAGGACCCTCCAAATATCCCCTAACGAAAGACCTCTGTGAGTGGCCAATCACCGCATTATTGCTCTTTAGTGTCTCAATATTTGCTATTTTTGGTTTAAGATTTTGCACTGTGAGCATGCTGGTAAGGCTGGCTGTATAGCTTTGTGTGATGATCAGAGCCACAAAAAGCCATACCACAGTCGCCATACGTGACAAATTGCTATGTAATTTCTCACCTGCCGACAGATTAAGCCACAAAAAATCAACAAAATTTCATTTTAAAACTACTGTGATCATCTTGTGTGTCTACGTTACCGTGTAATGAGAACAGTGTTGCAGAAGCCAACCAAAGTAGAGTGCCTATTTGGTTCAGAACTGGTCCTCTTAGTTCAGAGCAGTAATTTCGCTCAATACTCCATACGACGAATCCATTGAAGACATTGATGAAAAATGTGAGAAACCACATGGCTTTTGTGAAGGGCTTCACAAACAGCCAAACTTTGCTTGAATGCCATAGAATTGGCACTACCATTACTAGTCCTGTCTCCGTATGAGCGTGCGTGAATTCTACATATTCACTTCGATTTGATATTATGGCTATGTCACCAACTGCTGCATCAAATTCCTGCTCAATCAATCGAGACTCTCGTCAGTAAATAAGTGGAATGAACTATCACTAGGAGAGTATAGAATATCTTACCTTTGATTGAACTCTCTTTACCAAATCAGTGTAGTCTCCTCCAAAAGGAATGAATTCGTATTGTAGAGAGTAGTACTTCAAACGCCTTGCAGTTTCCTTGAACACATCCACAGAAAATCCCGAAAAAGTGTACTTGTCTGTAGAAGAATCATAATCTACTTTCACAAATTTGTATGTAATGCATCCATTGGGAACTCCAATTCTCAAAGGATTTTCAATAGTCGGAAGATCACATCCTCTTGTGAGCAGACGATCGCCCTCCAAGTCCAGGCCAATTCACATCTCCTAAACTCTCCATGGATAAATTGTACACTCCATGATCTATAGTATGGGAGAATCCTAAATTCTCAGTCCAAAATCCCAGTTCTCTATAATGCTTTCCAATGATATTGATAATCTGAAATTGAGTTGTGGGCTCTAATTTTTGCCGCGTAAACTGGATATTCCCACTTAAACCGTCGAAATCTGTTTTGAGAATAGTTTCCAAAAGTTTCCGGCCATTGCTGTTGGTACCTTCATTCATTGCTAATCCCACTGTCCACACGGCATCATAAGCCTGCAGAGCAAAGATTCCAGGCTCGTGATGCTTTTCCTCGGGGTACTTCTGGCCAAAGATCCCATAAAATCTTGTCGAAAAACTATTGAAATCAGGTCCAGTCTCAGGAAAAGAGTTCCTCAAACCTACCACACCTTGCATAGAGGAAATTAAAGAAAAATTCATGGAATGCACCGAACTTGTAATGGAATCAGTGGTGATCCATACATATTCCTTCTCCATCATCCTTTTTTCCTTAGCCATTCTAAAAATACGCGTTGCAAGGTCCAAAGAAGTATGCNGCAAGTTCCAAAGAAGTATGCACGACGAACACTCTACATTGCTCTTGTTTCAGATTTTCCATTTTTTTGTGCAACAAAGAGGAATCAGCAAAAGAAGGAAGGGGTAAAAGATAGCTAATTTCGACACCAACAGCTTGGAAAGCACCATATAGATAAGGACTGATTCCATTGGCTGCTGAATCTGTGTCCTCATATATTACATTCACCCGGCGCCACCCCCACGATTGAATTATATTAGCCACTGCCATCATTTGCACGTGTGTCCCTGCCGCAGCTTGAACGAGGAACGGCCAACGTTCAGCCGCCCACGGTGGACAAGAATCGGCAAATGAAAGAATTGGAACCTCATAGCGTTCACTAACCTCAGCGACTGTGGATGTTTCCTCCCATGATCTTGGTCCAAGAATCACTTCCACCTTGTTCTTATTGATCAGATGTCTTGCTGCAAAGAAATTTAATGAAAGTTCTTAGATTTCTACGGCTATTCTTACACTTATACTAAGTACTAATGGGTCATTCGATAATTACCTGCAAGAGCTGACTGTAAAGGCGTACGTTTAGAACACTTCAATCTCAGCATAAGAAATGTTTGATCGTGCTGCGTGTTGAAATATTGAATGGCCATATCCATGGCTACTCTTTCTTCTTTGCCTACTCGAGTGTTACAATCAGATATGGCGCCGATAACGCGCTGGACTCCGTTAATGCCTTCTGGTTTTATGGCCAAGGCTACAAGAAAGAATAGGAGAAGAAGAAATGTTTTCATAATTAATTGTCTGAAGGTAGGCAACGATACTCATGACACTGCTAAAATGTGAGCAGTGTTCCAATTCAATTTATAGCTTCCAGTATCATTGGAGTTAATTAAATTTCAATCGTAATGAATAAGTTAGACTAGAAATTTTTTCTCAAAGAAGATTGACAATGAAATTCTTCTTGTGATGGTCACAAATTTCTTGGCAGAATTCATGAATTTATTCAAAAATTGACCCAAGAAAGGTGAGTTTGAGACTTTTACGTTGACGTGACTTTTAAAAAGTCAAAAAAGTCGAAAGTTAATTATAAGACTAAGAAATAGCTTTTGAACATGTTTTGATAAATTTTTTAAAAGTGTTTTATTTGATATAAAAAACTTTTATTGTAAGGGTGGAAAATTGGTGGAAAAAAAATGAATTCCATAGAAAATAATTGCCCAAAACTTGTTTTCTTGGGAATTGTTAATTATGTGTGTTTGATTGATATAATTTTCTACCCGGAAAAATTTTAAAATTTTGAATCTTTTCGTTTTTGTTTGGATTTGTTTTACATGGAAATTGTCCATTAAAGTGATTTTTTTTCCACAATTGGTTATAAAATTTGTTTTCATTGCCAAAAAGTAAAAAAAAAAAAACATTTCCTAAAAAATCAATTTTTTCAACAAAGTTTAGTGTTCATTAGACTTTATTTTACATGAAAATTATCCATTAAATTGATAATTTTTTCCACAATTGATTATAAAATTTGTTTCCATCGAAAAAAAAAAACACACCAAAATGGTGGGAAAAGCAATTCCCCAAAGTAGAGGAAAATAGGCGCGTGTAGGGCAGCCATGGAAAAAACTTCGCTTAGAAAATTTTGTTGTTCAAACATGCCAAAACCAAGAACTTGGACCATGGAAAAAAATCACAATCAAATAGGCACTTAGAGTAAACAAATATAAAGTAGAAGAGAACTTTTAGAGTAAACAAATGTAAAGTAGCTCTTCTACAAAAAGTAGGAGCCCACCAAATGAACCCTTAAGTTTAATTGATATACTAATATGAGTCTCTTCTCATAAAGTTCTTTGAATATTTTTAACTAATTATTTCAGGGTTTTTCTTAGTCATCCTACAAATATTTTCATTTGACTTTGGTCACGTCAATTTCATTAGTCACCCTGGAAGTTGGTTAATTAATAAATTAATTAAGTGAAATCACGAAGAAATTATTACCTTATATTATTTTAAGTTTAATTATAAATAGCGTAACTATTTGTTCGGAATTATTTCTTTCTTTTTTAAAATGACAACAATAAATTTAATATGAGAGAGAGAGAGATAATCAAGTGAAAAAGTCTCCCAAGAAGCAATCGTGCTATTGGACCCGGCTCAATGACCGAGCCCAACAACAGGTTGCCGCTCACATTGGAGGGGGACGGTCAGCTCTCCCTCCAATTACAGGGCGCCACATCGGCGCCTTGTCATTTGTCCCGGTCATTGAGCCGGGACAAATGGCTTAATTCCCCAAGAATACTCTGTCGGCCATAATAATAATAAAAAAATAAATTAAAACTAAAAACAAGAAGAAAAAATTAAGAAGATGAACTCTAATATTCAAATTTAAATAATGACATTCATAGTGAGTGACTGTCGTAATCATCCTATGTGTCAGATATCTAATCACTTAATTTTTTAATTAATAATGCTCACTATGGATGATTAAGTGATTAAATATATGCCAAATTTAAATTTTTATCAAATTCAAAGTTAACAATTAATTTTAAACACATATTTAAAAGACGACTTTTATCAAAATTTGTTAAGAATCTTATTTTAATCCCCACCAAACAGAGCTTGTTTTTTCACCACAAGTCAACTCCAAATTAATTATTTCATAATTATTCATTAACAAGACAAAATGGTGTCTTATTTTAATTAATTTGTCATTTTATATAAGTCTTACTCTAACTTGTTTTACTGATCATTTCCTAACAACCATATTGACTGTTTTTAATTATTTGCATGCATTGTGATAAAACCTAAGATATATATGTTACTGTAAATATAAATAAATTAGTGATATTAAACCATTGATGTCACGACATTGTGAAAAAACGTACCAGCTTTATTAGGTAAAAGATTTTTAATTACTTAATTAAGGCTTAATGTGTCAACCAATTAATTTGAAATGAAGACTTTCAAAGTCAAGTCAAAATATTATATTTTAAGTGCAATATATATTATTTATCTTCCAGAAATAAGGGCTCAATGGATCGAGTGGAGCCGGCTATTTACTTAGACACTCGAGTTTGGCTTGTATCCACAGATTAGGCTTGATTTGATCATTTGTAATTCCATACAAAAAGAAAAAGGTTTCAAGAAAAAGTGAGATCAGGGTCCAAAAAATTATTTTTTGGAGTATTTGTTTCGGAAAACTTTATTTCCATTTTTAGTGGAAATGGCGGAATGAGCAAAACTTTCATTTATGGTCGTTTCGGCCAAATTCTATCATTTAGGGCTTTGTAAACTCATTTCTTTCATTTTATCATTATCTAGAGTTAATCGTTATTTAGAAGCTTAGTTGTTATCTATATTTTATTTACTGCTTTAAATACAAGTTATAAGCCTTATGTCAATTAGTTAAATTTGAATTTAATAAAGAGGATTGAGAAATTTCATAAAATTATTCTCTCTTTCTTGGTATTGGTGAACGAATCAACAAGTTTGAGTTTTTATTCTTTCCTATAAGCTTTCAGTACATCAATTTGACTCGTGGGCCTCATGGATAGAGCTGAGTTGTCCATGAGCCCATGAGCTGACTTTTTTTTTTCTTTTTCAAACATGTATGATCCGAACCTGTGAGCCATTCGGTCCATTTGCCACCCTATAAAAAGAAAAGTGCCATTAATATATGTGGAGAACAATACGATACAAAATGTAATGTAAATAAAAATTATATGTTGTAACTTTTGAATTTGGGCATATCACAGTTTCTCTGAAACTTATATACTTCTTGTGAGATGATAAATGATATTAATTCAACTCTTCTAAAGTTCTAATTGTTAAAAAGATGAAAATTTTATTTATTTATCGAATGTGTAACACACAAAAATTTTCAAATATTGAAATGCTGATCCCTGACACCTTTTTAATAATAATAAGAGGAAATTACACACAGGCAGGTATTTAAAATACCAATTTCACAAATCAGATCACTAGTTTAACTTTTCAAAAATCAGATTTTTTTAATTTTATTAAATATTATTTATATTATTTTCATCACAATTAAAATAACCCTAATCAAACCTAAAATTCATTTTTCTCATCCCGTCAATTTTCTCTCCTCCCGCTGCCACCGCCGTTCTTCCCCCGCCACCACCGTTCTTCCCCTCACCGTCTCTCACCATTTCTCCACTCTCTCCGTCCGACCCATTTGAAGAAAACAGCACCCAACTGCACTAAAAATGCCACCACCAACACCAGCTTCGCCCACCACCACAACGACCACAACCACCCTCGCCACCGCCACCATTTCCACCACAATAACTCGATGTCGATGCCTCAGCAACCACCTTCCTGTAGGTCCCATCGTCTAAACCTTCCTCCAATTTCACGTAATCCTCAACCCTAAAATCCTCTTCGACAGCGTCGTAAATCATTGCAACAGAATCAAATTCCAGGTTTTCTACACCAAATCAAATTATTTTCACCAAAACGTACAATTATTACCCCAAAAAATCGATATGAAGAACATGAGTACAATTATAGCCCCTCTGATTGAGGGGTTTTCAGGCTAACCACATATGTATGTATTGTCGGTTATATTGAGAAGAAGAAGAAAGGCAAATAAAGAAAAATCTTGCACGAGTGCTATTAACAATTGGGAGCGTGGAAATAGCATATCTGGATTTGAATTTCTCTCTCTTCGTCTCCCTCTTCCTCTCCTCAATAGATCTGAATCTGAATTTTTCTCGATGACTGTAGTGGTGACGATGTGGATCTAGTGTTTCTCCGCTGCTCATATTTAATTTCTGTCGGCCTCGGATTTTGATTTCGAGTTGGTGGTGGTTAGCAAATTCAGGTGGTGTTTGTAATTGGGTGGTGGTAATTGTGATGTGTGGTGGCGAGGCAGTGGTGATGGTTGTGATTTGAGGCAAGTTGTGGTGGTGGAATTCGGTGGATCTGGCGGCGGTGAGGCATTGGTGATGGTGAGATGTTGGTGAGGTTGTGGGTTGGGCATTGTGAGTGTGCGTGCTGGCGGTGGGTGGTGTTTGACGGTGGCTCTGTGCGGTGGTGGTGTTTGACGGTGGCTCTGTGTGTTGGGGAGGGTGTGGTGTTGGTTTTGAGATGTTGATGGTGCTGCTGAAGGAGGCGGTGCGGTGGCGAAGTGGTGGTCACAAATGATTTTGGTGGTGGTCACAAATAATTTGGATATTTGTGACCACTAATTTGGTTGGTTGGCGACCAATAAACGATATGTGACCAATGAATTAGATAAAATGTGATCAATACATGATGTGTGACCTAAAAATTATTAATCTGTGACCAATAATTTGATAAATATTGTGACTTATAAATTTTGTGATCTGTGACAGATGAACAAATTGTGACTTTTAAATTTTTAAGTTATGACCGATAAACAAATTTCGATCTAAAAATTTTCGCCGGAGTTGGAACACTTGTCGGAATTGGAGCAGTCACTGGAACAAAGTGGCGGCGGAAAAATCATCGAAATAGTCTCCAGAATTGGAACAGTCGTCGGAACAATCGTCGGAGAAGAGTTGTGACTAGAACGATAGCCGGAATAGTCCCCGGAGCGGTAGGGGTGGTGGAGGTGGGGTGGGGTAATTATATTATATTAGAATTAAATATTTAATAATAAATTGATTTAATAATTCATTATTTCATAAATAAAAAATAAAAAAATCTGATTTGTGAAATTTGAAATTTGTTTTTGTATTTTTGAAATGGTGTAAAGTAAATACCTTAGAAATGTATTGTTCCCTAATAATAAACGCACTCTATCTTT